GTAGTGAGATAGTCCAGAAAGAACACCACTCCTTGGCGGTAACTCTTTTATTAGAGCCACTAAACATTCAGAAGGAGAGCCAGGCAAACATGGAAGTCTCCAGGGTTGGAACAACCGCGTGTTCCAGAACCCAAAATGGCCGCCACGGCACTTCCGGGAAAAAAAACGTCAATACGTCACCACGTCACGTGCCCCGGACGCGTTTCGTCACATCCGGACTTTTTCAACAGGGATTGAGGTTTTGAAGATTTTCTGGATTATACCACCAATCTGATCCGGGGATAAAGATTAATTAGGAAATCACGTGCAGAGATCTTATTGGACACTTGGATTTTACTTTGGATTTTAGGTGTATGGGACTTTATATATTTTTTGTTTATTTATTTATCTAAGTTTGCTTACTATTATTATTACTATTTTTGTACTTCAGGGAAAGGAATGTTAAGTAACTTATTGGGGTTTTGGTAGAGGAAGTGAGTGCTATTTTTATATTAATTTTGTTATCATGTGTACTGGGCATTAGGCTCCATGCACACCACTGTTTTTTTCATAAGCTCAAAAAACGCTAGAAATACATGTTAGATGATAAACACTGATAATAGCATTTTTGTTACATAGTCTGGTTGAAAAAAGACAAAAGTCCATCCAGTTCAACCATTAAAAAAAAAAAAAAGTTATAATCCTACACCCACAGTTGATCCAGTTGATCCGATTTTGTGTCGGCTTGTAGTCGTATTTTAGCAGTGTTTAAGAGCGTTAGCATTTTATTACCATTTTTACAGTACATGAAGAAAAAAAGAAGCTCAAAAAAACTGTCAGGAGGGTTTTAGTAGTGTTTAGGAGTATTTAGAAGCCTTTAGGAACGTTCAGTGTTTTTCTGCCAGGAAAACGCTCCCAAAAACTCTACAAAAACAATTTATTTTCTGCTCCTAAAATCTGAAGCTTGAAAAACGCTTCTAGCATAAAATATTGTGCATGAACACATAGTAGAACACTATTAGCTGCCAGGAGCAGTTAAAATGCTTACAGTATTATAGCTTCTAGGAGCATAAAAAGTGGTAGTGTGCATGGAGCCTAACCATTAAATTCATATGTAGATCAAAGGTGTGACCTACGGTCTGGATATAACTTCAGTTAAAGAAAACTTGCAAGATAAAAAAAAAAAGTAAATTAAGTGCAGGGGCGGACTGTCAACTCATGGGGCCCCCGGGCAATAGGGGATCATGGGGCCCCTGTGTCCTTGCCCAAACTCAAAAAAGCCTATGAAAAAGGTACCAGGGGCATCTCATGGGGCCCCCTACTGACCTCGGGCCCTCAGGCAGTGCCCGAGTTTCCAAATGGTCAGTCTGCCCCTGATTAAGTGTATTCCTATAACCACTTATTAACCATTAGTTATTCCTAATTAGCCCTCCTTCTTCCCCTTCACCTCTTAGCGATTATTTTTCTGATCACTTTTTTTTTTCTTCCTTTTTTTTACCATTCATATTTTTCATTAATTTTGTTTGTTAATTTTAGTGTAATTTTAAATAGAACAAATTTTAGAATAAAATGTATACTTTTTATTTAATGTAAAAGGTGTTTGTTTTTTAAACTAACACTGGTACTTTTTAAAATATTTTTTATGTCTTTTTGTCTATAGATTACATGGGAAATAAAATAATTTTGCAAGACAGTATTGAAGAAAGCCTAGCTTGTCTCTAATAAACAGGCAATAATGTAGCAGTACCCCTGAAGGGGCTGCTGATGGATGATGGTTTTAACGTGATAAAAGCACAGTCACTGCACCTCTCCTGTTACCTCCACACAGATGATGATGTTAGCCTGGGATCTTGCCTTGTTTGTGTAGGGCAGGCATGTCCAAAGTCCGGCCCGCGGGCCATTTACGGCCGGGGGTCGGTTTAATACGGCCCTCCAACAGCTCTCCCTGCTCTGTGTAATGTGGCCCTCCCATGGCCCTCCCTTCTATGGCAGACAGTCTTCTGCTTGAGAGCAGAGGGCAGTGCGCATGCCTGACTGCGGCGCATTCTCCCTGGTCTGTGTAAATGCGGCTGTCGCACGGCCCTCCCTTCTGTGGCAGACAGTCTTCTGCTTGAGAGCAGTGCGCATGCGTGACTGCGCCGCGCTGGGAGCGACAGAGGGCGGTGACGTCAGGGCCGGGCTTCCAGCGTGAAGTGTGTTTCTCTTCCCCTCCCGGCTGCCGAGCAGTTAGACTTCAGCTCCACCCGCTACAAATCTGCTACCTTTTTCACCCTTTCACATTAGTGCAGGTAAGTTTTTTTAAAATTTATTTTCAATACATTCAACACTGTGAAAGCTCAGCTGTCAGTACCCCCTCATCACCCCTCTCCCCCCACGGCCCCACCACTGCTCTGACCTCCTCTTCCACCCCACCCTGAAGACCCCCCAACACTACCTTTGACCTTACTACCATGAAAAGTCTCCAAGATGATGCCGCGCCTCACCACCTGCCCCGTCGACCCTATCCCCTCACAACTCCTACGACATCCTCCTCCTCCATCCTAACCCACATCTTCAATCTCTCCCTCTCCTCAGGCATAAACATGCAACATCACCCCCATTTAAAAAGCCCTTTGCCCCAATGACCCGAACAACCTCAGACCCATCTCCCTGCTCCCAATCTAAACTCCTCGTAGTCTACACCCGCCCTATGTTCAACGACAAATCCTCGTTCGGAAAAAACTGCCTTACACTCAAACTGTTCGTGCCCTTGACCCGCTCCACATGTTCACTTCATCCAATCTGGCCCTCTTTGAAAAAAGTTTGGACACCCCTGGTGTAGGCTCTGGCTCGCCCCTTCTCTTCTCCATCTACACCTCCTCCATTGGCCCAATAGCAGGGCGGACACACAAATCTATCTCTCAACCCCCCACCTCACCCCCTTGACTATTTGGAAACTTGGGCACTTCCTTAAATTGCCCTCCAAAACCGAGGGCCCAGGGTCAGTAGGGGGCCCCATGACCCCCCATTGATTTCTCCCATCACATTGTACCTTTTCATAGGCCAATTTTTGAGACTCCACCTTGGGCAAGGATATTCAGGGGACCCCTCCCCTCCTCACTCCTGCCTCGCCGCTGGGCTATCCCCTATTGCCTGGGGGCCCCATGAGTTCTCAGGCTCCGCCCCTGCATGATAGCATTTCTATGCACACTGACCCAGTAACCAGTCTACGGGTGTCTTTTTAGGTTTTAATGCTGATTAAATTTGCAACTTGGGAAGTGTATAGGGCTTGATATACTCCTTGTCAGTGTAAGGCTCCATGTATACGGGACACTTCTGAACGATGGAAACTGACTGCTGGAAAATGTAGGTTAAAAAACGTCTGTTTTTTGAGCCGTCTTTGAATACCGCGTTTATGAGCATTTGCATTTAGAAGCGTTTTTTAAATACTCTTGAGCATGTAAGGACCAGGAGACCTTTCAAAATGCCCAGAATGCACTGAAAAATAGTAAAAATTAACTATTGCAGACATTTTGAGAGAAATAGAGATCAGAAGCAGAAAGAGCAGTATTTGTTGAGATTAGCTGTCTTTTTTTTTTCTTTTTGTGGTGTTTGGATGTGTTCCAGCTCATTTCTGTACAGAAATTATTGCAGCAGTGTCTAACATATTTTCTTTCAAGCGAAACCTCAAAGTATGGAGTACCAGGTCCATTTGAGTACCAGGAAAACGCTTTGAATGCATTTTCCATGAAGAAAAAAGGCTCTGGACAGTATTTAGAAATGGAAGAGTTAAACACATTTTCCAAATGTAAATGCTTATAAACGCAGTTAGCCGCGTTTACACGCATTTACACAAATTTACAAGTGTTTGGCGTTTGAAACGCTGATAAAATCTACTCCTGAACACAAGTTTGGTGCGTTCAAAAAAATGACTGTAAACTCAACTGCCTGCAAACGACGATGTGTACATGGACACATAGGAAAACATTAGGGAGAGTTCAGGGCTGCTGAAAAAAAACGCAGAAAAGCTCCTAAACGTCAGTTTATCTGCTGCAGTGTACATGAGCCCAAAGTTCCAAAGAGGAGAACACTAACTTCACTGTCCTATAGGTAACACTTCTGAGTCCAGAGGAAATGGCCAAATTAGGGACACTGTAAAGCCTGTACCCTGTAAAGCTACACCAGCCCGTTTATCTTTACAGCACCAATGTTGGCTGGATAGGCAAACAGTCTTTTACTCACAAGGCCACCAAATAGCTGCCCAGACTCTGCTTCCTGTTGACTTCTAGTGGGGTATTAGTAGACTGGATCCTCAAGGGCGAAGTCCCAGGGGTGTCTTTGTAGTTGCAGATGTAGCACCCTCCTAGATAGGTGCTAGGATTAGTTAGATTTAGTGCTGGCTTACTGTGTATTTTTTTTCCTTGCTAGGTAAATTTAGCTTGTCTCACTGTAAGCAGTGTGGCTGTAATTGTTATGTTGTGTAAATTTAGTTGTGCTCTCTGTAATCAGTGTAGCTGTATGTGATTAGTTATGTCTGCTCAGTGTTTCAGCTGCTGCTAGTTTGCCTGCTTCCTCTGCTTTCTAGAGAGCAGTAGAATCCTCTGGAACACACGTGTGGAGCAATGCAAATAGCTATTTATTATTAATATTATTTTTAGTATTTATACAGCTCTGGCCAATTCCATGGACGGTGGCCCTGAAGGCTGCTGGGAGTCTGTATAAATACTCTGAGACACAGATTTTCTGGGTCTTTGTCTGCACTGGGGAAGTCCAGCCTGGTTGGCTTGCTCCCCCCTGGGCAGCATTTCCATGTACTTACTGTTCGTTAAGCCTCAGATGGGTGACCTGAGAGTCTGGATGGTAAAGCTGAACTGACTGAGGGGCTGTCATCTGCAGATCTAGTCTGGTATCACGGGAGAAAGTTGTTGGAAGGAGGTAACCAACTTTCCAAGGATATATGTGAGTACAGACTGCTGTGAGAGATCTTAGAGACTTTTGGGCTGCTGCCACCCCTCTTGTGCTAGATTCTGGCGGCCCTCCAGCTGTTGCAAAACTACAAGTCCCATGAGGCATTGCAAGATTGACAGTTACCAGCGTGACTACCAAAGGCAGAGGCATGATGGGACTTGTAGTTTCGCAACAGCTGGAGGGCCGCCAGTTTGACACCCCTGCGCTAGAGAGTCAGCTGTGTGTCTGTCTACAGGGGACATCGGTTGGTGTCCTGAAGAGCTCAGTCTATCTAGGTCCTTGTGTATTTCTCTAAAGGAAGAAGCCTGTGTGATTTAACTGCTTTGATTACAGAAGAGCTTAGTCTATCTCATTCTTTGTGAAGGGAATCTGCTCTTGGTGCTCTAAAGAATGAAGCCTGTGTGCTTTTAACTGCTTCTACCACAAAGCCAAGTCCACAGCTTGCTATTGCAAAGACTTCTGCTTTCAGAAAGGAGTTTACTGTTCTCAACCTGTACAGAATTCTCTTTTTTGAAATATCCCACTCAATTCCCTCAACCCTATCCCAGTTACTCCAAAAAACAAACAAAAAAACATCCCCTAGACTGCTTATTGAGCCAAAGAGTGACCGTATTCATGTGTCTGACTGTGAGCAATATACTGGGAAAAGCAATTTCCAGTGGCTTCTTTGGGGGGTGAGCGCTACACAGGCTTGGACCCCCCCAGCTCTGCTACAGCTTGGACCCTGATAAGCATAAATGTAGATCAGCAGTAAGATCCTAAAAGAAAGCAGCTTTCCCAGCCGGTGAATCTCATAGACCAAATGTGTAGGGCTCTATACCAGTACATGCTAGGCCCCAAACAGACTTCAGGGACTAGCAGCAGAGACAGTCCAGCAGCAACTTCTCAGGACTTAACCTGAGGCAAGAGAGCTAGCACATGGCCTCCCCAATTATTTATACCCTACTCCATCACACCCCAGTGGCTTGAACCTCCTATTGGGATGATGGGGGAAATAAGAATATTCATACCTCAGCCTGGCAGGGAAACCTTATACTAGAGCAAGTGATGACAACCCCACTGAGCTTAGGGAGAAACCAAGTGCGCAAAAATACAACTCAAAGCTGGACTGACTACCACCAAGTCAAAAACTTCCTATCAATTACCAACCTATCTAGGAGGGTGCTACACTAATAAATAACTATATAAATGCATAAAGAATAGATAGCAGAAATGTAAAAATTACTGTGGTTCGTACAGGATCTAAAGGCACAAGAGTTGAAATGTTTAAGTCCTGATCAGGGGTGGACTGACAACTCATGGGGCCCCCGGGCAATAGGGGATCATGGGGCCCCTGTGTCCTTGCCCAAACTCAAAAAAGCCTATGAAAAAGGTACCAGGGGTATCTCATGGGGCCCCCTACTGACCCCGGGCCCTCGGGCACTGCCCGAGTTTCCAAATGGTCAGTCCGCCCCTGGTCCTGATCCCTTCAGCTGTTAACTGCCAGAGCCTCTACTGCCCACTGAAGTTATGGTATTTGATGGTTGAATGTTCGGTGGTAGGACTTAATCCCCATTTGGCCCCATGTTTATTCTTGGCCAGTAAACCATGGGGCTCCAGTGGGGTTGATCTAAGGTCTAACACCGGTACTTGCAAGTACAACAATACACTGCCTCTCAGCATTATTGTTACCTTTTTGTTGGCTCAAGTCAAGGTCACTTTAAAGTGAGCCACTGAGTATATAAATATGGCAGCTGCCCTTGCCAACCTTATCTTGAATGTGCGGACTCCAGGGCTGTGATCCTAATCCTAGCCTCACTACCTAATAAATTAGTGACGTGTAACACACTGCACTGTTACTGATTGCAGGATGTTCATTTTCACAAGATGGCAGTGTTCTGCAGCTTAGTTATTAGCAAAGCAAAGCACTGTTGAACTTGTGTGCTGATAGCCGGACTTCTGTACAGGGACAAGTTAAAACAGGCTACATTACCCAGAAGAGCTGACAAAGGGGCAGGAGGTTATATAATCTGGAGCTGGGAACTTTATGGGGAGGAAGGAAAGAGACTATGAGAGGATGAGGATAAGAAGCCCAGGACAGATCGGGTCACACTGGAAAACTGGAAAGAGAAAACTACAGATTGATGGTATCGTTAACAAGCAGGAGAGTCGACTCTGCAGGCAGGTGTATTGTGGTATCATAATCGCTTCCTCCTCATAGAGAACAAGGGGGCTCCCTGACTGAGAGACTACCTTTCACTCTGCTAAGACTTTACACCGAATGAGAGGGTCCTATAACCCAGACCATCACAAATTACGAGAAATTCTGTTTTCAGTTGCTTCAGTTCAGTGCACCTTGCATCACAGTTTGCCACTCAAGAGACATAGACTTCCTCGCCCATTCAGTACTGTGGCCTGTTTTAGTGTCTACCCATTGCTCTGAACATAGGACACTTGCTGCTGTATGCATATCTTTGCAGGCAGGAATACTGTTAGTGTCTCATCTCAAACCTCTTCCAGCTGTAAAGGAACTTTTTTCACCAGGTTAGCTCACCACCTACAGGGATTCAATTCTACTGACGTCTATTTCTGCCCCTTTCTCAGCTTTAACAATTCTTGCATTCATCTTCTGTGTTAAAGGGACTTTCCCCAGTTTCTCACCAATATCCTAGGGGGAGCTTTTCTTATTACTGTACCCTTTTTAGGCGATCTTGTTTCCATCCAGAAGAACTTCAACTCTAATGTGCACCAACTAGGGCCCCATCAAGCGCAGAAGAATATGTTTCTATACTTTAGAGTGATACTAAAGGGGATGGTATTGCATGTAAATTCATCTTGAGAGTTAAACCCTGTTTCTAGTCATTAAGAACCCACAAGTGAGTTAGTCAGACTTCTCTTTATACTCTCATTTGAGCTCAATTTGGGAAAAAGATATCTCAGTGCTGGAATTAATGTTTAAACTCTGGTCCTGCAGGACAATTGGATTTATTTAAAGTAATACTGTGTATCTTCCTTATGACTAAGTTTTCCAAAGTGATTATCTTTTGTACACACCTATCATTGTTTCTTTTGTGCTTGCATTACATTTACCCCCACAGTGACTACCTACTGTACCATTCACCCCTCCCTCCTAGATTGTAAGCTCCAAGGAGCAGGGCCCTCAAATCCCTCTTGTATTGAACTTTATTGTTACTGTATTGTCTCCCACTATAATGTAAAGCGCTGAGCAAACCGTTGGCGCTATATAAATCCTATATAATAATAATAATACTCCAACTTAAATACAAACAGAACATTGGTTCACTTTAAACTGTGTGATTATTTTGGTGTTTCACAGCCAGGGGATTCTCCTAGTCAAGGGTATATGGTGGTTTCAGCACGGGTTGTGCTCCAAATCTCAGAGCGAATAGGGGATCCAAAATACCTAACGGCTCCTGAGGGGGGTAGCTCTACACATGGAAAACAAGCATGTAGCCACTGAAGATTTAACTCTTCTCCTTCTTGCTAGTCTCATGTCAGTAACTCACCAGCAATAGCATGACCACTTAACACTGAAGTCCACAGTGATAAGTACTATATTTCTAACCCCACAGGTAACCTTTCTGACAGCCTTAGTCTCACCTTGCAGGTTCTTATGAAAACCGCCAAAAGTACCCTGACAGTATGGGTAACCTATCGCTCTTTCACCATTTTGGAACTGTGATAATAACTCCTTGTGACATAATTTTGCTTAATGAAGATTTTTTTCACTTTTCAAAATTTTTCATTGAAGTGTATGTCCATCTCAAACTTTTTATTTTTTTATTTTTAGATATAGTGGGGGAAGGATTAGAACCTTAGGTCAGGTTTTTACTTCTCTCCATAGCTCCATCAGATTTTTATTTCTTCCTGTGTCCGTTGCAGTATTTTCCATCCTGTCTGGCGAAACTGGTGCTAGCAAACCAGTAAGGGCTTGTTTACATGTGTGTTCATCATTACCGTGCCTTTGAAAAACAATCCGCGTTGGATCACTTTTCAGAAACACTTGACAGGTGGCATGGAAGTGACAGATTGAAAGCCCACTGCTGCATGCATTACATGGCTGCATTCACTAGAATGGTTCACACTTGGCAGGAGTACCACCTGCCAAACACAACCTCTAGTATAATTGTTCCATACTGCGACCTTGGCAGGCCATGTTAATCTGCAGCTCAGCAAATCAAGAGTCAGTAAGCCCATGGCTCCTTTTTACCATCCTGTGTAAACGAGACCTAAGGGAGAGGAAATTTCTCTAACAGAGCCCTGAATAGCAATAAAAAACCCAACAGAATAACTGATCTTTCCCCAAAGTCTCTCCAATACTTGAAAAAAATGTTTGGCTTGACATTCACGTTCGAGAAAAAACTTACAGAATTTCTTATTAACGTACTTCCTTATAAAAATGCTAGTTTCCTGGCTGTCTCCTTAAACTATTGAAGGCACAGGATTAACTATCCAGGCAGCTAGTATTTCCTGAAGCGGTCAGCAATATTTTACTCCCAGTACAGGTCATCTTTAATAAGTTACAGAATAGACAGGAGTCTCGCCCATTCTGCTACTCAGAAAACTCCATTAGGCGCGCCCGGTATTTGAATATGTTTAGAAATGTCTTATCTTTTTATACTTTTTTGTGATCATCTCATGCTGATTATAACATCAAAATGGGAAGAAAGGAGCCGCTGACAAGCCAACTTTCAGGCCCATGTAGGAGATGGATGTGAGTCACTTGATAATTGCACAATGGCTGTACGGAGATTTGTGCCATGTAGTCGGATTTCAGCCATACAGATTGCTGACTCATTGCTGTGCAGATGGGCACGTAGCGTGTTAGTCAGAGTGTGGCAAAGTGCTGATTTCCTCTTACATCTGGCTCCAAGTAACATGTCCTTGTGTTTTTTTTTATTTTTATCAATTTGCTACAGATCTGTTTTGCAGATCTCCAGGTGGGGTTGGGCAATGGTAATTATCTGCATTGCATTTACCTCCATTTTCCCCATTCAGGTGTTAAATTTGGCAACTAGAATGCTTCTCCTCCCAGAATACCTCCAACGGTTGACTGCCTGTAGTGCAGCTCCAGAGGTTGCCAACTTCTACACCTGTAATTCCTATTATGAGAGAACAGAGCAAGGGCTGATCTATATCCACAGCAGACCATGCAACTGCAAAAGGGCCCAGAAGCACAGGGACGCCCAGAGCTGGCTGGCCACACAGTAATTTATTTAGTTAGAAAAAAGTAAATTGTGCTTACATTTGGATGAAGTCAATTTATTTATATTTTGGGCACATCTAAACTCTTTCTGTACTTAGGGTGTGCCT